TCGAAGGCTTAGGGGAGGGAGCCGGCGGGGGGCGTGGTCGCCTTGGCAGAGAGACGCCCACCCGCTGGGGGGTCACACACCTGGAGGGGTGCCCGGATGGGGCTGGCTTTGGCGTACCGGGCGCTGGCATCCTGGTCGTCCAGGAAGGCGGTGGGCAGGCTCTGGTACCACTGGCCTGTCAAGGTGAGGGCGCGGAGCGAGCACAGGAGTTGCCCACGTGGGCGCCGCGGCCCCCCTGGCCGGCTCCTCTTCAGCACCTGAGGAGGGAAACAGAAGAGGGAGGTCGGGGACCAAGACTGAGAGAGGGTCACCTGGGCACAGGGTTGAGAAGAACAGTCCATTCCCCACTCCCAGCTCCCACCTGGCACCCCACTGCCCCCCCACAATGTCACCCTGCCCCCAGCTCCCACCTGGCACCCCACTGCCCCCCCACAATGTCACCCTGCCCCCATCCCCAACTCCTTACTCAGCACGGGAGAACTAATTTAGGCAAAGAGGTCTGTCCTGCCCCCAATCACTTGGAAGGGTACAAAGACTATGGAGTTTGGTCTCCTCTTTCCCCCATGGTGGCCAATGATGAGGGTGGCTCAATCAAATGGCAAGCTTGTGCCTTAGAGAAAGTGTCTAAACTGAGTTCTGTCATGAGCCTCTGAGGTGAGCAGTCTGCCTGAAAGTGTGGGACCCACCAAAGTAGAGGAGGAGTTTTGTCACATCATCATGCAGCAGTGGGGGAAAAAACAAAAATAACACCTAAAAGACACTTTTTTGCAAAGAATTGTTTGTTCCAAAATGCCTGATAAATCTGAGCTGCATCATGGAGAATAAAATTAAAACTCAATTATATGACTAAATGGTCTTCAGGAGTGAGAGGGAAAAACCTGCAACACAGAGTGGTGTAGGTCACTCACTCTTGCAAAATGAAATTCCAGAGCAAGTTGCAGCTAATGATTCTAAAATCAGGAGAGAAGATTTCCCCATCACTTTCTTCTATGGTCCTTCCTAAATTAGTGGAGAAAGAACAGGTTAAGAACTATTTAGAAAAACTAGATATATACAAATCCATGGGTCTGAATTTAATTCATCCGAAGGTACTGAGGGAGTTGGCAAATATCATTGCAGAGCCTTTGACCATTATCTTTGAAAACTCATGGAGATTGGGGGAGATCCCAGAAAAGGTTAAATATAGCACCCATCTTTTAAAAAGGGAAGAAGGACAATCCAGGGAACTATACACCAATAAGACTTATCTCAGTCCCTGGAAAAATCTTGGGGGGGATCCTCAAGGAATCCATTCTGAAGCACTTGGAAGAGAGGAAAGTGATCAGGAATAGTCAACATGGATTCACCAAGGGTAAGTCATGCCTGACCAATTGGATTAGCTTCTATGATGAAGCAACTGGCTCTGTGGACATGGGGAAGTCAATGGATGGGATATACCTTGACTTTAGCAAAGCTTTTGATACGGCCTCCCACGGCAAGTTAAGAAATATGGATTGGATAAATGGACTGTAAGGTGGATAGAAAGCTGGTTAGATTGTCAGGCCCAATGGGTACTGATCAATGGCTCGATGTCAGGTTGACGGTCAGTTTCATGCGGAGTGCCCCAAGGATTGGTTCTAGGGCCAGTTTTGTTCAACATCTTTATTAATGATCTGGATGAGGTGATGGATTGCACCTCCAGCAAACTTGCAGATAACACTAAGCTGGGGGAAGAGAGAGATACGTTGGAGGGCAGGGATAGGGTCCAGTGTAACCTAGACAGATTACAGGATTGTGCCAAAAGAAATCTGATGAGGTTCACAAGAGAAGTGTAGAGTCCTGCCCTTGGAACAGAAGAATCCCAAGCATTGTTACAGGCTGGAGACCAACAGGCCAGGTAGCAGTTCAGCAGAAAAGGACCTGGGGGTTACAGTGGATGAGAAGCTGGATATGAGTCAACACTGTGCCCTTGTAGTCAAGAAGGGTGCATTAGAAAGAGCATTGCCAGCAGATCTAGAAAAGTGATTATTCCCCTTTATTCTGCACAGAGGGCAACCAAAATGAGGCCCCCCACTGCCCCCCCACAATGTCACCCTGCCCCCAGCTCCCACCTGGCACCCCACTGCTCCCCCACAATGTCACCCTGCCTCCAGCTCCCACCTGGCAGCGCACTAACCTCCACCCTGTGACCGTGCCCCAACCTGCACCCCTGCTCTGCCCCCTCAGCCCATGACCCTGGCTCCAGCCCACTCTGACACTGCACCTAGTCCCTTCTCTCATGACTCTGCCCCTTGCTGCCTCCACTTACCCCAGTACCCCGTGTCCCATTGCCCCAGCTTCCTCCCCATCTGTGCCCTCTCAGCTCGGTGCCTTACCCGGCATTTCTGCCCACCTCAGTTTCCCCCAGCGGCTCAGCCCCACACTGCTCCTACCTGGGCAGACATAGTCTTGCAGTGTCACGAGGGGGATGGTGCCACAAATCTGGAGTGAGAGGAACACAGCTAGGAACTGCCTGGCCCTGCTGACAGACGCCCTCTTCCCACCCCTCCCACCGTCCCTCTGGCTATTTGGGACCAGAGGCTGTCACTCACTGGGGGAGCTGTGCAAGGCCTGGCACAACAGGGCCCTGAATGAGCAGCTGGGGCAGAGAGGAATCTAGAACCCAGTTCTCTGGCACTGGGGTGCTCCCTTGGTAATGCCCCCAGGGGAGGTGCCAAACCTGGAAACCCCCCACATCCCATCATCTCAGGCATGGGCACATGTACAGCAGGATTATCCAGTTATGTGGACTCTCTCCTCAGACCCTAGGCCACCAGCCCTCCTAGCTACTGTCGAGACACACCGACTTCCTAGGACACGACAGAACGTCAGTGATCCTCCTGAAAACACCGTGCTGGCCACCACAGACATAGATGCTCTTTACCCAATATTCCACACGAGGACGGGTTACTGCTATCCACACCTGGTGGCTGAGCTCTGAGACTTTGTCCTCACCCACAACTGTTGCCAATTTGGGGACAATTTGTATCTTTAAGTCAGCGGCACAGCCATGGGCACCCGCATGGCCCCACAATACGCCAACAGCTTTCTGGCTGACCTCGAACAGCTCTCAGCTCTCACCTCCTATCCTCCTCACTCTACTTACGCTACACTGGTGACACCTTCATCATTTGGACCCATGGGAAGGAGACCCTTGAAGAATTCCACAGGGATTTCACCAACCTCCACCCCACCATCAACCTCAGCCTGGACCAGTCCGCATGAGAGATCCACTTCCTTGACCCTACAGTACAATTAAATGATGGCCACATTGCTATCGCCTTATACCAGAAACCCACTGACGGGTATTCTTACCTGCATACCTCAAGTTTCCATCCACATTACACGATCAGTTGTTTACAGCCAGGCCCTAAGAGACAACTGGATTTGCTCTAATCCCACGGACAGAGACAAACACCTACAGGATTTCTATCAGTCATTCTTAAAACTTAAATACCCACCTGGGGAAGTGAAAAAACAGACTGACAGAGCCAGACGAGCACCCAGACATCAGCTTCTTTAAGACAGGCCCACGAAGGAAAATAACAGAACATCAGCTACAGCCCCCAACTTACACCTCTCCAGCCCACCATTAACAATCTACAACCTACCCTGGAAAACGATTGCTCATCTCACAGGCCTTGGGGGACAGGCCAGTCCTCACCTACAGACAGACCTCTAACCTGAAACAAATTCTTTCCAGCAGCCACACAGCACACCTCAAACATACTCACCCAGGAACCCGCCCCTGCAATAAACTCTCTTGCCAACTCTGTCCACACATCTACACAAGCGACACCATCACAAGACCTAACCACATAAGCAACCACATCAGAGGCTCGTCCACCTGCACATCCTCTAATGTGATCTATGCTGTCAAGTGCCAGCAATGCCCCTCTGCCATGTACTTTAGCCAAACCGGACAGTCTCTGCGACAAAGGATAAATGGACACAAGTCGACATCAGAAGCGGCAACACACGGAAAGCTGGGGGGGCACATTTTAACCTGCCTGGGCACTCGTTCATGGGTCTAAAAGTTGCCATTCTTCGACAAAGGAATTCCAAAAACCAACTGCGGAACTGGCCTTCAGATACAAATTTGACACTATCTCTCATGGCCTGAACAGAGACATGAACTGGATGGGCCATTATATCAACACCCAAATGGCTTCAAAAGCTAAGTGTGGGACACTTCCAGCCCACTCAAGTAGCCTCATTAGCACCGGCATGACAATTGACAGGTGTTTTTCCCCTCTCCCTTCTTTTTCAGTTATGTTTGGGAGGTTCCCCCTTTTTTCTCCACTCCTATCAGAGGAAGGGCTTTTTAAGCCTCAGCGGGTATGTCTACACTACCAGCCTAGTTCGAACTAGAGTGGTAATGTAGGCAACCGGAGTTGCAAATGAAGCCCGGGATTTGATTTCCCCGGGCTTCATTTGCATGTTGCCGGGCGCCGCCATTTTTAAATGTCCGCTAGTGCGGACTCCGTGCCCGCAGCTGCACGCAGCACGGACTAGGTAGAACGTGGAACGAGGTGTACAGGTAGTTCGGAATAGGAAGCCTAATCCGAACTACCTAGTCCGTGCCACGTGCAGCCGCAGGCACGGAGTCCGAACTAGCGGCAGCGCCCGACCACATGTAAATGAAGCCCGGGAAATTCAAATCAC